TGTGATCAAGTGTTTTGATCCCGAATTCACTCCTACAGAAATGAACAAGTTACATTGTATACTTATTTGGTAGACACGGACAGGTTTTTCTTGTCCTTAGTATTTAATATGATTTAATTGGATTCCCTATGCATGTTAATAAATGAAACAAAATGAAGACAGGCTTAAGAATTTAGCTAGAGTGCCACTAGTATTGTGCGACTCCATTAAAGAAAAGTTCCTACAATAAAGGGTTTCAATTTTTTTTATACCTGTACATGCTTTGTTAACCTGTTCAAATGTTTTATGATGTCATAGTAAATAAGATATTTTACATACACAACTATTATAATTGTTTGATGTACTTTATTACAGAATTTGATTCTGGAAATTGGAATAGTTTCCCCAAAATTATGAACTTATGACATTCGTCTCTTTGACGTTGCAGATTTCACCGGGTATCAATAAAGTATTTCGCTTTAAGGGATGAAGGATGTATGGTCACGTGACTCAGTTAATTTACGTCATAATCTCTGATAAAATATGTACAAAACGAGATTGAAACCACAGTACTTGTATAATTTTTTTACTGTTTGTTTGCGTTCACCATCTAGTATAAAAATATCTGAAAACATTCAAAATTTCTTGCAAATATTATCAAATTACGGAATAGATTAATCCACTCTGCCGTTTCCCTACTCTGCGCGTCCAGTGCGTCTTTGACGTCATAGTGGATCTCTTAGTTCAGTAAGATCATACACGGTAAAAACGGGTAGTATAAAATCATAAAAACGGGACATTATGTGTACATGGTAGGGTATTTTGTAAATTTCAGAACGCAAAAAATATTTTTACATGTTTGTTGACAGAAAAGTTCTGTGGGTTTGTCATATTTCGCTTATTTCAGGAATGTGTGACGTCATAGTTGGGTTTTCCCGTACTCGAGAAATGTAAACATGACACGTTTTTCTCATGATCATGACTCGTTTAACTTTGCCCCGTGCAATATTGAGTTCAGCTTCACTAATCAATATTTTTACAGTTAATCAATACAATGACGACCTTGAACTTCGACGTAAATTTTCAAATATTGAATGATAGGATTTTTTGCAAATTAATTTTTTTATGGTTTAAGTTGTCCTAAAAAAGTCGTAAATTTCCGTCTCCAGATGTGGTGTTACAAAAGATTCTTGCTTTTTCGAATTTTTAACCCTATTCATACTCTAAAATATTTTAAAAGACACATTTCCGCTGGTATATTTTGTATCTATGGTGAAAAATTTCAACTATCGACAGAGTAATGGACCCAGAAACACGAAGAATAAAAACTCTGTTCAGACACTGTGGGGTATGGTATTTGTCACTCAATATCTCAGAAATAAGTCTTGAAACCTACTGATATGTCTGCTTTATAGTATGTAGGACATACTAAATAAAATATATACAAAATATGATAAAAATTAAATGACAGGTATTTTTTCAGCTAAAGGTCCTTCATCCCCTTAAATCGTATTACTCGAATTGTTTCAAGTAACCAGGATAAAACTTCCTAATTTATCTGCCACGAACACGCTTTATCTGCCCCCAAAATTTTAAAGATACATTATTTTTAATTATATTAAAGATAAGAGCTCAATCTACAAATGTTTGGAACAACCCTCGTACAATAAATGGAAAGTTTACTTACCAAGTAGTAGATTAGTCTTCGAGAGAACTCTTCTAATTTCGTGGACAAATACCAGAAAATGTAACCCGTTTAACGACTAATCTTTATTAAGATGGTGGGGGGAAGTTTAATTATATTTTAGGTAATTATGTGTATTTGACAACAGGAAAATATGCTTTCTTCATTGCAGCGTAAAATATGGGATAAAAATGTTTAAAAAATATAAGACTTTTTGTTCAACTTGATGTATTTTTGTCCTAAAGAGGAAATTATTATTATGAAAAATGTGTATAAAAGAAATACCGTATTTTGAATATTTATAGCAAGAGTCACATTGTTCTCTGTGTTGTTTTGCATTAATCAAGATAAGAACACATTTTGAAGAAAACGCATGTCAATTGTTTTCCTTTCCCCAAAGATTGTCAAAGTATAAATGCGAATTTCTTAGAATATGTCACAATTAGCCATGTTTGTTTTCAGAGGTTTCTAGAGATTTTGTCCAACGTATTCATAAGTCTATAAAGTCGGTCGTCCGTCGTTCGACAATAAGGATTTCCAAAATTTTGGCCGACAGTTAAAATCGAACTAAAGCTCGGAGTTCGATGATTGGGTGACGATTGACCGACTTATCAATATTTAACCTACTAAGGATACATAATGCAAACAAAATTTTTATGCATTGGTTTATATATATTATTTTAATGGAAATGACATAATATTTATTATACTGCTCATAAATAGTCTTTAATAAGATACTATAAAAAAAATCTATAGAATTTTAGCGTTCAATATCTTGACGTTTTATTGAACGCTGAATTTGTTTAAGGTATACGAGTATGCCCGAAACATTCCGAACACGAGCGTTCAACATCGAACGCCCCATTGTAAACCGAAAAAGTCGTCTGGTAAAATTCTCAGAGTTAAATTAAAGAAAAGAAGTAGCATCCAGATATTATGTGTTTATTTGTGCACAAAAATTAAAGTATTCATTCATGACCCCCGGGGCAAGGGTGGGGCCACAATGGCTGATCAAAAATTTACAAGGAATATATAGGAAAAAATCTTTCGAAATCTTCTCAAGATCCATAGGGACAGGAAAGATGAAACACATGTTGAATCATTCTCGTGTAGTTTACATTCAATTTTTTTTCTAATCATGACCCTCGGGGGTAGGGTGGGGCCACAATGGCCGATCAAAGTTTTATATAGGAATATAATATATAGGGATTATTTATAGGAATATATAGGGAAAGCTTAAAAAAATACCTTCTCAAGTACTGCTGAGCAATGATTAGTGATATTTTTATGGAAGCATCCTCAGGTTGTCTAGTTTGTTCAAATCATAACCTCCTGGGATAGGGTAGGGTCACAATTGGGGTAGGAGGAAACAATGGGGAGTCATATTCAATTTAAATCATTATTAGTTAAAAAATATATACCAAAAAAAATTGAAAAATCTTTAAAATCTTTTCAAAAAAATTATCAAGAAGCTATATGCAGTATTGATCTGGAGGCTAGTAGTATTTCAATCCAAGCACCCTCCCCTTTACCACCTCAGTAAACTTTTCAATTCGGATCTGATTCGTATTTTTTCCTAGCTCACGTGAGCAATGTGGCCCAAGCGCTTCTTGTTAAAGCCTGGTTTTGTAATGTAAAAATTATTGAAATAAACAAAAAAAAATCTATTTGCAAAAATGATTATGAAAGTGGTTGTTAAAATCATTTTGTTCATTCAGACTAATACCCTTTACATTTTGCAAGATTTAAGACGTTATTATAATTATACTTACAATAAATGTTCAACGTGATGTCTGATGTTTTTCTGCCTTCGATCCCTGTTACAACACATCGGATCAACGCCATACTAGTTTTTTTCGCTGTTTGTACTGGTAGATTAACTGCAGACGTCCTATTTGGTGTAGCGTCTCTGAAACCACCTGCTGGGTGTTTATACTTCCACTGCACGGTACAAGGTGGGTTACAGTCAGCTGAACAGGTGTATGGACCAAACGTTTCCCCATCAAAAAGACTTAGGTCATCATTTTGCTGATTTGGGGTTATTTTCAAACTTTCAGGACCATCTGTTAAGATATCAAAGGGCCTATACGTTCAATTACATACAACACAGTGACGTCATATATTTATAAGCTACATTTATCACAATTACATGTGTTATTTCTCAGTTACAAATATCACAATTATAGGTATTATTTATTACCTAAGAGGGCTGTCCCAAGAAGTCATTAACAATATTATATACAACTATTCAAACATTGAAAAACACCATCTAACCGCTATAATTTATTTTAAAAATTTTAAAATTGCTATTTCGTAAATAAAGATCTTTCAGAATAATAAAATAAGTACTTCTTTTCAGGATGTCCAACATAGTTTTTTGACCCAAGATCAAAATTCAAAATAATTAATGCATGTTAATACGCTTATTGCTTTTGTTTCTCTGGTAATGTGTACAACCTTAAACTCAAATGATTTCATTAAACCAGAAACATTATCTTATACATATGTCATTTCACATAAATGGCATAAGAGACAGAAGTTTGGGGAAAAGTAATTTTTAAAGTGTTTTGGAAGGGGTTTTGCAAAAATGGGATTCCAAATTATGGCTTAATATTTGGCTTTCTTGAAAAAGAAATCAACTTGAGAACATATGCAGTCCTCCCTTAAATGATAATCTAACAACCAAGCTATATGATAAACGTGATGAATTTAACTTTTCTATTGTCAACTTCCCTTGCTTATGCAGCAATATACCTTCATCCCCAGCATACGGAATGTATATATTTTAGATAATTATGTACGCAAGAGCATGCTCTACATTTAAAGTCATTATTTCGTAAATTCTATGGTCGATACAATGACCTTGTCAGCTAATACAATTATTCATTGAGACAAATAATGACTGACGTTTTTCATGCTGATGGTTAGTCCATAATTTATACACTAAATTGACCACGGATTTTTCCATTATTTCTCGATAATGACAAGGAGCACACGGCGGGTGTGACCGGTCAGCAGGGGATGCTCACTAGTACTCCTCCATGGCACCTAATCCCACCTCTAAATTCTTCGGCGGTCCGTATTTGCTCTGCTCCTATTTTGTATTGTTTTATGGACATTTGATATTGAAAACTGTTCATTATCTCCTTATCCTTCTCAAAACGACAAAAACAATGACCTTCTAGAATGTCCCGGAGCAGCAAATAACGATGCACTATTGTGCTTTACAAATCCTGAATAATTTCTTTAAATTTTGGAGAAATAAAAAAAATGTCACAAGCTAGTGTGTACAAATAGTACAGACAGTATGTGAATGATCATGACAGAGACTCTGTCTCGGATGAGGACAATCTGCAAAGAAACGGTTTAGCTGTAAAAAATCTGAACAAAAACTTTTAAATGTTGGAACGTCAAGGAAAGGCATAGGCTCTTCAGTTTGCTTATCCTTTGAAAACAGATTCAAGTAATAAAGGAAATTAAAAGCTCAACAAGGAAAATATACAACGAGAAAAATTCTTTAAAAAGTAAATTCAAGTATTAGAAAACGAATTGGATGGGTCTGTATTGGATAAAACTGAGTGAAATGTAATGAGAGAATATTTTTTTAAATTGTTGGACAGTAACGCTACATTGCCGTTAAGTTTGCTATCATGGGTACAAAACGTTGATTTTAAAATGAAGTAAATTGATTTTTGTTAAATCGAATGGAATGAAAATTCACACATCAACAAAAAAATGTCCGTTCATGTTATTTTGTGTTTATTTTAAATTTCTAGTAAGTAATATAACGAAGATTGATATCGTCCACGAGTTTTTCGAACAACCCTCGTATTTATGAAATTTGCTACTATCTTGAAAATTGATATTCGTAATAATTGCTACCAATTTGTGGATTTATTTTAAAGATGTAGCATTAAACATATGTTGCAATACCTTGTTAATCACTGACAGTATGGTAATTAAAGCATTACAGTAAACAGTTTTATTTATTTTCAAAATTCCCACATCAATCAATCATTACTTACATAAGGGGTTTATCCTGATTTCTTCACTTCTCTCTGATACAAGAATTTCTTTTGCCTCACAGCTGTATTGGTTGTATTTAGCATCTTTTGTGACTTTAAAACTGTAGGTCTCTCTAACCTCTCTGTATATCTTGGTCTTGTTGACAAACCACGAATACGATAATGGTGGAAACTTGTAATAGTACGGGGCAGACGTAGATTTACTTTCACAATCAAGAATGGCTTTAGTGTTAACATTAATTAAATTGCTTCCATTTATGACCGGTGTCGTTGGCTTTCCTAAAAAGAATATCCATTATTAGGAACTGTGAACGATACAAAAAATGAGAAAAAGCTATAATCAATGAAAAATGAAAGTGTAGTTAAGTATTTACTATAAATCCTTCTTTAAGGTGACTAACTGGTTAAATTATTCAAGTACAGTTTTGCACCCAGTTATCCACATATGATTTTTCATGTATAAAGGTTTTAGTGACATACTTTAAAAGGGGAATCATCCTGACGACGTGGAAACGTTGACGACATTGCCATATGAGATAATATCGTTAACTTTTCTACTCGTTCAGCTTCAAATTTTAATTTAAAAGCCCTTTTCAATACTACTAGATCGAAGAAAATTTTGTTCGCCTTATTACTGAAATATTAAAATCTTCCAATCTTTAAATTAAGCCACCTAAAAAGTTTCAAAATTATATAGAACTTATGCATTCATCAATGCCCTTAAGTAACGTGCCTGTTTGCTTTTATCATATAATAGTTTACCATTAACAACCAAGACGGCATCCTCTCCTTCAGACAATGCAAGAGATTTTGTGAGACCTACAACATAGTGTCCAGCATCTGCTAATGTTATATTCCTGACCTCAAATATTATATCAGTTGAGTTACTGGGCCTACTGTGGTACATGTACTTCTCGGTCTGAACCAGCACTCTTCTACCATTTATGTGAATTATTTTTGAATACAATCCATTTCTTGCAGAATGAAATATTCCATAAATTCCTGAGGCAGGTAATGCATTAATGGTCAATGAAATATTCCTTGAGTCTCCCTCATTTGATTCAACCTTATTGACTGAAAAGATACAAAAGATGATAAAAAGATAACGCAAAAGAAACGTAACAAACATTAATATGCAAATACTTGTACCTTTTAACCAATGAACTTCAACAATGAATACAATATCCTTAAAATATATTTAAAAACGTCAGAAATTTGATAACAATGTTAAATGATAATCTTTTAACTTAAGAAAGCAACACATGACTGTACAAACACCCCCTTCTCCGCCATTCAATTACAGCATACAGGTCTGTCTTGCACAGCAATTGCAGCTTGATTTTTTCAACGATGCAATAGGATCATTAATTCCTAGATTTAACAGAATTTCGTTGAAGCCCGGACCTACCTTAAATAATCATCTTTGAACATTCTTTTAATCATTTTTTAAGAAACACTTAAAGTTTCCTTTTTATCTATTTATTGACCCTAACTTACATTTTGATGTAACTCGTAGTGAAAAAAATTATATAGATCAACTTTTTTTGTATTCCACCTCTCAAAATCATTATTTTGCCTTAAGGACATTGGAAAGATTTCTAGCTTTAGTATAAAAATTTTCAAGAATTTTTGAACAGGTTTAATATGGTACCAAGCATTTTTAATTCTAGTTCATTCAACCCATCAAGGCAGCCTTCCTTTTTACTAAAAAGTTTTTAGATTTGTCGAATCAATGGTTTCATAATCCCCAATGCATTTCCTTTGTAAAATGTTGATAAAAGGACTTACATTATTTTAACCATACAATTTCTCTAAAACCAATTTATTTCAAAGACGTTTTGAATAAAATACATTGTTTTATCCTTATATCCGGTTAAGTAAAAAGAACTTAAAACCTTAACAAAGTTAATTTTACAACGAGAGCAATTCTTAAAAATAAATGTCAATATCAAAAACGGATCAAATGAGTGAGCGTTTGATTATACTCTGTGAAATGTATGGGGATAGTCTTTTTAGAACTTCTTGATTCTGTTTTGATTGTTTTAATTTACATTGCCTTTAAGTGTGTTCCGTGGGTACAAAACATGTTGCTATTGAAATAAAGTAAACTGATCTCTGTTAAATCGAATAGAATGAAACATCACATATAATAAAAAAAACAAATATTTTTTTTCATATTATGTTGTGTTTATCATAAATTTCTAGTGACTTATTTAACAAACATTGACATTGTCCCATCGTATTTCGAACCCTCGTATATATACACGAGATTCACACTAATAAAAAAACTTGACAGCAGACGGGAATTGGTTTTACATTAAAACCAGTAGTTAATTGGGACTTTAGTTTTGCTTTAAATGTCACAGTTTCATATATATCCTGTAGGGATGATATCATGTCTCCCTTGAAATTCAATATTTCCTTGAAATAACCTTTAGTATAAACTTACCATTATATGTCTTAATATAGTCCGTATGACCTTCAATATAACCCGGACCTTTATACTCCCGTACTTGAATCTTGACTGAGTTATATTGCATAACATCTTCCACAGTGTACTGGTCAACATACACCGGTATCCAGGGACCGGACTGAGAATCCTTAGTGATGATTATATCATTTCGAATTGGCGAAAAATTGATCCATTTAAATATCAACGTCCCATCTTTAAACTCCGTGTATATCTCAAATGTTTGTCCT